CAGGGAAGCTGCACATGCTGCTGTAGGAGTTACAGTGTGTTCGTGCCATATATATATACGTGCCATTTGATGGTGCATGAGACGCACCTTCGTTAGAGACCATCTAAATGCATGGGGGGCCGCCACTATTTAACAGAGCCCCATTATAATACATTATGATCTCCATGATATTACCAATTGATGTAGAGCCAGCAGAGATTTATATATATTCTTTGGCAGGGATGTCCGAAAGCATTGGCAACTGGTTAAAAAAAATGAGAAAGTGCTTTTTTGAGGGTCAAGTGCCCCAATGTTGTTGGGGGGGGGGGGGGGGTGTATTTGGTGGACCCAAAAGTACACGCACAGCAGCCTTGGATTTACAGCCAAAATGATTTTATTTTCCACAAAAAAACCAACGAGGTGAATAAGGGAAACAGAAAGCGCTCCTCTGGCTCAACTGGAGTCGGGAGGGAAACTCCACCGACGTCTGGCGGATCAAACAGGGTCTGGTGTGGAAACCCGAGGCCCGACACCGTACTCACAGTCCAACTCAAAAACAGGTCACGTGTACTCCGTGTACTCCGTGTACTCCGTGGTACTCCGTGGGTCTGATACAAAAAACAAACAAAAACATGAAAAACTGGTTAGCTGCTGTATCTCAGTGTCAACGGCACCTGAGACCAGCTTGGGTACTGGGACGGACTGACGGAGCCTGTATGCGAATGAGCCACAGCTGGGCACTGGGAGAGGGGCGGGGCCGGAGGCGGGACACACAAACTATAGGTGGAAAAACAAAACAAGCAAAACAAAAGCACAGACTGGGGGAAACTGTTACGAAAACCGGGTCCCTAACAGATGTGAAGACTGAACAGGTAGTTCTGAGAATTCTCAGACTGTGATATCGGTGAACACCGCCATCATTTTGAATTTCGCGGGGATTACGTTCACAGCGTAGCTGTGTAGTGACGTCAGCGGCTCAAATGTCCAGTAGCATCTTGATTTTATTTGGTCCATGTTTGATACGTAACGTAGATGGTTACTTGCATAACCTATTTACGTGCAAAGGCACAGCAGAGTTGTGCTTTTTGTCGTACAGCAGCAAAGTGCGCATGCGTAATGGGGTTTTTCACTTGTCTGCAATGAACGGACGGTCAAACACAGCTTATTCTACCATTTATTTTGTGTTTGATTATGCGTAACGGCTCCATTTGTCATTGTAACGTCTAGACAATTGGAATAACACACATATTGCATATTTAATTCTAAGAATAAACAGTAGAAATACAAATACGTGGGTTACGTGAGTCTAAGTTTATTAGATACAATTATTTAATAAACATTTTTATGTTGGAATTTTGGCAGGGTAGGCAGTCGTGTGTCCCCCAATATTGACAAAATACCAATCTGTCCCCCCAATTATACTGCAGGAAATATGTAAAATATATGTTTCCTTCCTCTTGTGAACCATTTGTTAAGTGAAACGCAAGTAGGATACGAGCTACTTTAATTGTAACCTTAAGATATTACAGCTTGATGCTGCTTCGTCCTGCTCCATCAAACACAGATAAATGTAAAGTTAGTTTATAATCACACAAAAAAAGGGCAAAGCAACAAAGTTCAGTTTCTTTGTGTCATTTTTAACCTATGGCTATTTACTGTTTGGTGTCTTGCTCAGGGACACTTCGACATGGGACTCGACCCACCAACCCTCTCTACCCCTGCGCCATGTCGACCCCCAGCTCACCTCCATCCATTTCTGTTGATAATATGAAGTATAAACTGTATATAAAACCTGTAAAGGGTCTAATCACAGACGAGCTGCTCGTTGTGTGTTATAAATGTGTGTTGGTACATTGATGTTCATAAGAAGCAATAAAGGACCCAGGGGGGTTCCTGTGTGAGGGGGGGCATGACGGAGTTAAGAGCAGTCGGTTCTCACGTCTTATGAGTATTTAAAAAGTTGATTTCACTCTCAAATAACGGACCTCTAAGTACTTTAGAAGTTACTGCTATTTCACTTGATATTTACTGTATACTTCCTTTCAGTACATTTTGGAAAGACGATACTTGAAGTCATTGTCTTTCTTGACGTTCCTAAGGTCATCCTTCGTCTACTCTGGAACTCTAGAACCAGATTCAGAACCAAAACCAGGATCGTTAATCATTTTAGCAGAAGTTCAAAAGTTGAACTTGTGCTGATTCCTCCTGACAGTCCGACTACGTAAAGATCAGACATGAGACCCTGTAGGAAAATAACGTGTATATGAGACAAAATATACACAACATCCAGTGCCGGTTAACCGTTTTCAATATGGACGTCCCGTAGGAACAAACTTAATATCAATACACAACAGTCTCTTTAGTCAGTTTGGCATAAAGGTCGACGCCAGCGACGGAGTAAAAACTATAAAACCAAACCACACCTGTGTGTGTGCGTTTGGACGTAGTGGAGGCTTAAAGATATTAACGAACTCCATAAAAGGCAAGTCTCAATGCCTTAATGTGTGTGTGTGTGTGTGTGTGTTTCATTAATGACCCCTCCCACCTTAACGAGCTAATAACGAGAGCTCGTTAGGGACAGACAGGCCGCCGGAGCTCAGTCAATAAAACCCAGTTAGTGCGCTCTGTAAGGAACATACATGCTGTTTCCACGGCGACCATTATTAATCACAGCTGATCAGATGCCTCCTGAGAGAAACATGTGGCCGGCCAACTCAAACATCTGGGCTGCTGCTATGGTGTTATGCATGTAACTTATTTAAAACAGGGTTGAGACTCTGGACACCTGGAAGCCAATAAGAAACCAGGACTCTTTTTCTGTCTGTCTATGGAGTCTGTGAAGAGGTTCTGGGGGCCACTTCCTAACTTCCATGCATCCTTGAGGACGTACCGTGGGGAATTTCAGAACCAGTCTAGGTTGTTGATATAGTTCCAGTTGTCTGTGAGGCTCCATTAATGGTCCTTGAGGAGTTTCCAGAGGTCCTTGTTGTAAAACCTTAGAATACACTTGTGTTTTTGTGATGTTTCTTGAAGGCGTTCAACGGTACTTCAGAAACAAAAAGAAAGAAAAGAGGTTGTATTTAATATATTAGAAAATGAATGAATGTATTCTACACAACAACAATACAACATATTTGACATTGATGAGAGATTACATTACATTACATTACATGTCATTTAGCTGACGCTTTTATCCAAAGCGACGTACAATAAGTGCATTCAACCATAGGGTACAAACTCAGGAGAACAAGAAACAAGAAAGTGCAATTTCCTCAAATAAGCGAATTTACAATTTGCTATAGATGAGTGACGTCACAAGTACAATTTAAGTGCTACAATTTGTTAGTCTTTAGTCGAGGTAGAGTCTGAAGAGGTGTGTCTTTAGTTTGCGGCGGAAGATGTGAAGGCTCTCTGCGGTCCTGATGTCTTCAGAGAGCGCGTTCCACCATTTCGGCGCAAGGACAGCGAAGAGTCGAGACCTAGTCGAGTGTTTTGCTCTCAGTGAGGGAGGGACGAGTAGTTTTGCAGATGCAGAGCGGAGAGTGCGGGTTGGGATGTAGGGTTTGACCATGTCCTGGATGTAAGCTGGACCCGATCCATTCACAGCATGGTACGTGAGCACCAGTGTTTTGAACTGGATGCGGGCGGCCACCGGTAGCCAGTGAAGAGAGCGGAGGAGTGGAGGAGTGTGGGAGAATTTCGGAAGGTTGAAGACCAGTCGAGCTGCTGCATTCTGAATGAGCTGCAGCGGTCGAATGGCGGTGGCAGGGAGACCTGCCAGGAGGGAGTTGCAGTAGTCCAGGCGGGAGATGACAAGAGCCTGAATCAGTATCTGCGCTGCCTTCTGAGTGAGAAGGGGACGTATTCTCCTGATGTTGTAGAGCGTGTATCTACAGGATCGCGTTGTCGCAGTGATGTTGGGAGTCAGGGAGAGTTGGTTGTCGAGTGTGACGCCGAGGTTCTTAGCAGTCGAAGTGGGCGTTAGCACAGAGTTTCCAAAGTTGACTGTCAGGTCCTGGGTAAGCGAATCTTTTCCGGGAAGAGAAGTAGTTCAGTCTTGTCGGGGTTGATTTTCAGATGGTGGGCGGACATCCACTGAGAGATGTCAGTTAGACAGGCAGAGATCCGAGCCGCCACCTGGGTGTCCGAGTGAGGGAAGGAGAGAATTAGTTGGGTGTCATCGGCATAGCTGTGGTAGTACCTATGAGGGGAGTCTTGTTGGACATGGAGGGCAGGATGTCATTGAGGATGAGCAGCAGGACGGAGATGGCCAGCAGTATGGTGACTTTGAAGCCCAGCTTCTCTCCTCGGCGGTCTTCGATGAAGAAGGAGGCGAGGTCCAGAATCAGGAAGAACAGGATGGGCAACAGGAAGTTGGTGACGTGGAGGAGTGGCCTCCTCTTCATGGTGAACTGGAAAAATAGGTGCAAAGGTCAGACTAGATGGACGGGGGGAAAACGATTTTACTTGCGTAAACCCATTTGTCTATTTCTATATATATCTATATGCATATAGACAGATATACGTATGATATTTACACATACATAACATTTTCATTTATTCATTTTTTTATTTAATAAATTTTGAATCTCCTTTTTTGGTTACCATAAGTAATATATATTAATAAAGCAGAAGTTAGCTAAAGTGAAAACAAATTAGAATTTAGTGCACACTAATTGTGTGTGTGTGTGTATATAAGTACATACGTACAGTGTATATGAGATATTCCCACTGTTTATTGTCTATGGTGAAATTTTGACTGGTTACGGTCAGTTGGAGGAACTCCCCACTCTCCCTGAGTCC